TTTTTTTGAGGATGAGATTGAATTAGGGCCAGGGCCCTTAAAATTGTGCTCCAGGAAATCCCAAGGGACAAGGAGGCTCCATCCTTCTCTCATGGCAGCTGTGTTTAATTTTGTGTCTGCTCAATCCCTTCTTAATCCCTTCCCTTCCCTTCCCCCCCTCCTCCACCCCCACTGCCCTGGGGCTGGAGGAGAAGAATGCGAACAGGGGCTCCCCCCGCCTCAGAGAAACTTGTAAATGAAGTCTTCCCTTAGGTGACCTCTTTGTTGCAGTTGTCACTACAGCACATCTGTGAAATGGTCAGAGAGCTGGAAGGGACCTCTCATCCAACTCCCTTATTTTACAGAGGAGAAAAATGAGGCCCAGAGAGGAGCTCTGAGACTCAAGTACCAGCCGAGAACATAATCCCTCATTTTAATCCTTGTCATTGCCCTTTAATAGTCCAAAGAGGGATGACAGTGCCACTAACTGTGTGACCCTAAATTAGTCACTTACCCACTCTGGGCCTTATTTTCCCCATTTGTAAAATGAGAAGGTGGGACCCTAATTAGAAGATCTCTAAGATTACTTCCAGATCTAAGAATTCCCTGAAACCCTGTAGATACAGTCTGGTTACAAAGCATGTGAATGCAGCATCCTTGAAGGGGAAAAGAAGGGGAGATGTCACAAAAGAGAAGGGAGCTCCCTTCTCCCCCACCAGCCTCAGAGTGCTCATTGGATGGACGTAGATGAGCCTCAGGTCTTTCTGAACACCAGCTGGCAGAGCTACTTCCCTCCACCCCCATCCTTCCTGTCTCCCTGAGTCACTCCAGCTGCTTGATTCCCACAGGGACAGCAACAGTGATATCCGAAGGGGTCCTGAAGGGCAGGGGACATCCCTGTACTCTAGGCACAAGAAGGCTAGCTCTATAACCCTGTCCACAAGCCCCAATAACAGTCAGGCTAGGAGCTCAGCCATGAGGGAGAAGGTGAAGGACAGGAGAGGGTGAAGTCATTCCCCCAGGTAATATTCTCACAATGACCCCCTTTCTTCCATCCCCCCAAGAACTTTTGATCAGGCTTTATAAACAACCTGGACATGAGAGTCAGTGGGACATCTAGTGGTCACTGTCAATCAGGAAGGGGAAAGTAAAGCATCTCTCAGTCCCAGGGTCCTGGAAGGGGCAGCCCCAGACTCACCGATGTTGAAAGGTTTTAATTTGATCAAATTAAGTTGTAGCCAGTAATTTCAGTGTGGAATTCAGTTTCTAAATTGGTACCAGCCGGAAACCAGAGCCCCAACATGAAGTCGGAAGCTTGATTCCACAAACAGGACTTATAGTAGGGGTCTGGGGTACTCTAGGAAGGGCAGCCTATTGTACCCACCTACAAATGTGAGTACAACTGTATTTATGTGATGCTGACTGTATGCAGGGCCCTGTGTCAGGACTGAAGGAGATGTAAAGTTTAGATACACATAGACCCTGCCTTAACTCTGAAGCCTCTTCATGCTCCAAATCTAGAATCCAAGGATATGAAGAAACAACGAGGTATAGTGGGCAGTGTGAGAAACTTGAGGTTAGAAAGACCTTAGGGGCAGCTAGGTGGTGCAGTGGATAGAGAACCGGCCCTGGAGTCAGGAGGACCTGAGTTCAGGCACTTGACAATTACTAGTTGTGTGACCCTGGGCAAGTGACTTAAGCCCAATTGCCTCACCAAGAAAAAAAAAAGAAAAAAAGAAAGAAAGACCTCAGTTTGAATTTTATCTCTAATGCTAATAAATCAGTTGTGTAATCTCAGTGAAGTCATATATTCTCTCTGAGCCTCAGTTTCCACATCTGTAAAATAGGATCTTTCCCGTTCTAGCTCTATGATCTATTACATGGAGATAAAAAAAAATCTGTGATAAACCTCATAAGGTTTGGAAGAGAATCAAATGAGACAATGCATGTATGTAAAGTCCTTTGCAAACCTTAAATTGTTCTGTTAAGTTGGTTTAATCGTGTCTGACTCTTCATGACCCCATTTGGGGTTCTCTTGGCAAAGGTACTGAAGTGGTTTGCCATTTCCTTCTCCAGCACATTTTATAGAGAAGAAACTGAGGCCAACAGGGTTAAGTGACTTGCCCAGGGTCACAGTTAGTAAGTGTCTGAGGCCAGATTTGAACTCAGAAAGATGAGTTTTTCTGGCTTCAGGCCCAGAGCTCTAGCCACTGTGCCACCAACCTGCCCACAGACCTTAGAGCAACATGTCAATGTTGGCTACTATTATCCTGTGGTGCTTCATAGAGCTTACAGTTTAAAAGGATGATAAGAAACCAAGACAGATATTAAGTTGCATAAGTACATTGGAGAGTTATCACAAAAAAAAAGTGTTGTTGTTACTGGGAAGAGAAGGTCACAACTGATCTGATAGAATTAGGGACAGGTTTCAGGAAGGAGGTAGAGACCACGGCACACCTGGAAACTGGAGACATAAGCTGTGTGAATTTAGGGGAGTCACTAACCTCTCTGAGTATTGTTTTTTCACTTGTTAAATAGGGGTACAAATATTTGAATGACCATTGTGAGGAAATTAACACTCTCACTGCCTGCCTCACTAAGCTATTGTGGCAAAGGCATTCTGTAAACCTTAAGGATCTGGAGAAGGGAAAGTCCCCATTGTTCATCACAGGAGTGAAGACACTTCCTGAGCCTCCTTTGTTTAGGCTTCCTGTTACAGATGAAATCTAAAAAAAGAAAAAGAAAAAAAAGGATATGAAGTTTTAAGAGACAGTCTCTAAGTCACATATATGTTGGGGGGGTTATATTTGATTTAATTCTACAATTTTAATTTTAATTTAATTCTACAAATTTGTTCTGTGAAGTTTGGATTCAGTCAAAGGGCCTCACTTGAGGACCCAGAGGGCCACATGTGGCCAGGTTCCCCACCCCTGTGGCTGGGTTTCAATGATGGATAAGACAGTCCCTGTCCTTAGAGCCATAAATAGCCATAACTCTTTTCCCTAGGGCACCAAAATTTAGAAGGTGCTTGTAATTCTTTAGCTGGTAGAAGCAACTGAACCTAGTAACTAGTTAACAAGAATTAGTTAAAATAGGAAGCTACCAGATCTCCTCTCCTTTTCCCAGTCCTCCACCAGTAGCTGTCTCATATAAAGGTCTCAGGTTCTCTGTGTCCTTGTTGTGGTTCATTGTCTTAGTGTCTCTTGCTACCATGGATCCTTGTATCCTAAGGTGTCTCCTCAAAGTTCTCCCCCTGCCCCACTGAATTCATCTTAGAAGTGGATTTGGGGGCACCTTCTATGCTGCTCACCCTAGGAACATTTTGGGATGCTTGTCTCATATGGTAGAATTGTTAGTTATGACTCTCCTTGCCCTCAAGAATCTGCACTTAATAGAGGAGACTAGACATGTAGATGTAGACACAGATAACCATGATACAAAATAGAGCAAAGGAAAGATCCAAACAAAGTGTTATGAGAAAGAAACTTTAGGAAGGAGAAAGAACTGGGACCCCATGAACTATTGATCTCAGTTAACCAATGAAATAGGGAGAGGGAGTGGACCTTGAGTTTCGTTGGTACAGGGAACTCTCAGTTCTTCTACCGATGCACATGGACACCTTCTCTTCAATTATAGTCTTAGAGAGTACATACCCTGGGGAATTGAAAGATTTAGTGACTTATGCAGGATCATATAGCCAGTGTGGGTAAGAGGTGAGATTCGAACTCATGTCTTCCCTGTTTAGAAGTCTGCTCTCTAACCCCCCTGCCATGATGCCTCTTAACCAATTAAAAGAAGGGAGAGGATGGAAACCTCCCTATCAGTAATCCATTTTTAGGAACCAAATGTTAGAGAAACAACCTCATATGAGGAATTTATTTTTAAAAAATTTTTCCAGAGAATGTCTTGTGCTCAGTACATATTTAGCCAAACAATATAGTACAGAAAAAATAATGCTAGTCCTGGAGACAAGAGGATTCAGGTTCAAATCCTGTTTCAGGTGCTTATTGCTGGTAGAAACATTTTCATTTTTAGCCTGGAGAGTAAGGACTGATGCTCTGTAACCATTGGGAAAGGATGACCTAGATGTAAACCAGGTTTAGAATAAGCTGAGGCCCTATTAATGTCTGTCCAGAGAAGGACTCACTACTCGTGAGAGTCAGGTAAGAGGAAAAGACGAGAGTAGAATCCTGGCCTCCAGACCACAGAGGCTCTTTTTTTTTTTTTTTTTTAAACTGTGCTCTGCTTTGCCTCAGAATACCAGTAACTTAAACCTTGAAAAACATTCCTGTTGATTAGGGAGCATTCATTTTGCACCTGGTACTTTTATAAGAAGTAAAATTACCTGCAGACAAAGAACAGAGCCCAGGGCTTAGGAAGGGAACCGCCACATGAGATGCTTGGATGAGGTGTGCCCAGCCTTCTATAGTCACCTGGATTAACTTGCTCTCAGGATGAACAGACCTCAACAGGCCCCAGGGTTTGGGCTGGGATAAGGCGCTTTGAGCTGAAGCACCAGGATGGGGACAGCAGAAGGTAAAATGATTCCCACAGCACCAGAGGCGGGAAAGGGAGGTTCTGAAGCAGAATATGCCATCCCCCTGGTGAGGAGGGCTGAGATGGGGAGTCACCCAATGGCCACAAGGCTGGCACTGTGAGCTCCCCTGGATGCTGTCCCCCTGTGCCTCGGGTGGGGCCCTCATGGGGAAGCCTTGTTAACTCTGAGTTGTAAAAATGTGGAATTGCTCTCGGAAATAATAAAGACTTGAGGAAAAGGGGATGTTTAGGAATACCGCCGCCCCTGGCCTATGAACACATTGTAGGGAACGACCACACTCAGTTGGAGAGCTGACTAGAGAAGGAGCAACAGTCTTTGAAAGCAGTGCCGGGCATGGATGGTGCGGGAGCAGAGCGCGAAAGCCGCAGGCCTCAGAATTGAGGGAGGGCGGGAATGGAAGGAATGAAGCTTCTATATTCTTGCTAATTGCCGGTCTATCCCTTCTCCCACATCTGTCTCCCAGGCAGGACAAGCTGAAAATCCACATGAGGAAGCACACAGGTGAGCGGCCTTACCTGTGCATCCACTGCAACGCCAAGTTTGTACACAACTATGACCTCAAAAACCATATGCGCATTCACACAGGTGTCCGGCCCTACCAGTGCGAGTTCTGCTACAAGAGCTTCACCCGTTCAGACCACCTGCACCGCCACATCAAGCGCCAGAGCTGCCGCATATCCCGGCCCCGCCGAGGCCGCAAGCCCGCTGCGTGGAGAGCGGCCAGCCTTCTCTTCGGCCCCACTCCCCCGACGGAGGAAAAGGCCTTCATGATGCCCCCCACCCTGGGGGAGATCGGTGGCCATCTTGGCGGGGCGGCCGTGTGCCTGCCGGGCCCCAGTCACCCCAAGCACTATCTGGGGGCCCCAAAGGGAACCCTCAGCCTGCAGGAGCTGGAGCGACAGTTTGAAGAGACGCAGATGAAGCTGTTTGGGAGGGCGCAGCTGGAGGCAGAGAGGAATGCGGGGGGCCTCTTTGCCTTCGCCTTGGCCGAGAACATGGCTTCCCGACCCTACTTCCCTCTCCCAGACCCATGGAGTGCTGGGCTTGCCGGGCTCACAGGGCTGGCAGGACTCAACCACGTGGCCTCTATGTCGGAAGCAAACAATTAGCCCTAACTTTTGTCTTGCCCATCTGTCTCCTGCTCCTCTTCCGTACCGAGACTCCCTATTGCCCTCTCCCTCCCCTTCTCCCTTGCCCCAAGACGGGTTTTGTAAGTTCTCTACATTTTATTTTAAAAAAAGAGAAAAAGAAAAAAAAAAAGAATAGTAGCAAAGCCACACAACCCGGCCTCCTTGGGCAGCAGCCACCAATTTTCTCACTCCAAAGAAGAGAAATAACCTTCGAAGGGAAATAGCTATTCACAACTGGACACAAAAACCTAAGCATACCTGGGCCCTAGCTTCTTTCATCTTTCTTCCCCATCACAGAAGCCAGGGAGGAAACATTTTCTCAGTACAGAGTTGTAGCAGTAGCTAGATGGAGGTCAATTTGTCAAGGAAGGCCAGGAAGTAAGCAGGAAGGGGCGGGGGGGAGGGGGCGCGGTATTCAGGGCTGGGGAACCTCTGCTGCCTAGACCCCTTTAGTTCTTTAATGGTATACTTCAGGCAAAGGCTACCATGTCAGTACCAATGCAGATTCCACAGTTACAAATGGGTTCCTAAGAGCTCCCCCTTAACCTACATGAAGGGAAATGTCCCTTCCTATTTTGGAAGGATAATGGCATCCAAAGGAAGAGAATTCTGGAGGGAGAGGGGATAGGCCTGCTGGATTCTGCTCCTCTACTGACTGGCTACATGACCTAGGGCAGGTTATTTCCCCTCTCTGTGCCTCAGTTTCTCCCATCTGCATAAGGGCCCTCCCATACCTACCTCTCAAAGGAAGTTGAGAGGATTATCTAGGGACTCTGGGAGGTGCTCTGAACTCCTAGGAGAAAGGCCTGGAGAAATCTGGGCTTATTGTTTTTTGTGTTCCTTTATAAATTCCCACCCCCAGTGGGAACAACACGAGGTCCACATCAGGGAGAAGACCATGGAAGAAGGGGATCGCACTGCTCCTCTTCTGAGGCCTCAGACCCGAGAGTGACTTGTAGGGGCTCAGAAGTCACTAGTAGATCCTTCCTTTTCAAAGGAAGCACCTTTGAAAAAATCCAGTAAACCATTCCTCAGTGATTTTCCAAGGCCTGGGACCTCTTTCTTCTCTTGATGGTTCGACGGCTCTTGGGGAGCCAGCAGGACACGCCCGGAAGGTGGCCTGCTGGACAGATGTGGATTTTAAAACCTGACACTGCCTCCCTTCTTCTGCTCCTCCCTCCCCGAAGGTTCCTGAAAGCTGTGTTCACGTGACTCCTGCTGATCCAGGGGCTGATTTTATCATTTTGTTGTCCAGGGGTGCGGAGCGTCTTCCTCCTGGGCTGCCTAACCTGTGTTCATCTCTGTTCATTTGAGCACCTCAGCAAAAGGTTGGATGGGGAGAATCAAAGAACCCAATGCCCAGACCTCTATGTCTTGCTCCTTGTAGGAAGCTCTGATATCAAACATGGTGGGGAGAAGGTTACAGTGATCAGCTAAAAAAAAAAATGTGGGTTTGGGCTTCTCCACAGCACTCAGACTATATTCCCTGGGGACCAGGGATATTGGGAGCTGGCTGCATAGCCCTGGGCCATTTCAATCCGAACCCAAGGGGACACTGAAAATGGAGAAGGCTCCGCCCGCCAGGTGCCTTCCAGTTCTGCCATTCTGCTTTCCCTGAGAACTGATTGGTTTCTATAAACGTGCTAGAGAAGCAATCCACTGGGAGAGAATCTTGGGAGCAGGGATAGGCCTGGACTGACAGAGACCGAGAAGATGTCATCAGAGTTCCCTTTCCCTAGGCCCACTGAGTGGTTCCACTGAAAGGAACTCCTCACCCCCCCAACCCTACTCTCTCTCTCTCTCTCTCTCTCTCTCTCTCTCTCTCTCTCTCACACACACACACACACACACACACTTTTTAGTTTTCCCTTGGGAGCTGATACTAAATGGCCCCAGAAGACCACAGACTCCATCACACTCAAAACTCACCTCTTGGACTCTGCTGGGCCCCAACATTAGCCTAATCTTATCCTAGTTCTATGCCTTCCACTACTTACACCACACTAGTGGCTGAACAGCTTTCCCCTGTTTCCTCCAACTTGCTCTTGAAGTTTGGAAGTCAACTGCCTAAGAAGAAGGCTTCTTAGCCCCCTACCACCATTTCAGACACTGGCCTCCTGCCAGCCAAACCTTCCCCCAACCCTCGGGGCAGCCAAGGGATGGAGGGCAAACCAAACCATTTTTTTTTTAAAGAAAAAAAAAGACTACAAAACAGAATCTAATGACATTGGAGCATTTTGTTTTGTTTTGTCTTTTTGTAGATGTGTGATGACTTCTTATAAACTCAATTTTTTCAGATGACTAGTTACTTCAGGTGTTTTTTGTCTACAATTTGGAGTCATTGTAAAGTATCCAAAGATGATGAGTACTGTACATCAACAGGAACTTGAAGCAAATGGGTGGGGTGGTTTGGTTTTGTTTGTTTATTTGTTCTACCTTTGTTTATAAATTTGTTTTGTTTTTCATTTCCATTTCCCTGTCTGTCTGTGGGAGAACCTTTGGAATTTTTCTATTTATAACTCTTTTTTATGTGATTGCTTTATGTACATTGACACTCAAACAATGTTTGCCTTAGTGATTAAAGGGACAATCTTCCATTACTTTGGTGGCACGTGGCATCCTGCCGAGACAAACTCTCAGCTAACTCTCTGGCCTATTTATTAAACAGTATTAATTGACGACTCAATGGCATTCAGACTCAGTCTTTGTGATCCCTGAAGCGTAACATGATAGCAGCACTTAGACCTTTCATGATTAGGGTTTTGTCCACTGGCTACCTTTCATCTTTGTGGAGGAGGCTGACCAAAAAATTATCTTGATCAACTCCCAGGAAATGTCCTTAGCTCCCACTTTGGGCCAATAGCCCGCATTCTCCACAGGGAGAAGCTCACAAAGGCCTGAACAAGGGCTCATCTCCCTGTAAACTCACCAACATGATCAGATAATTCAAAGCCACCTTCCAACAACAGAGAAAGCTAGATCCCCATTCAAGTGAATATTGGTGGTTTTGGTCCAAAGAAAGCTGGGTTTCTTTCATTCCCTACTTAAAATTGATTTTTTTTTTCAGGAAAAGCCTATCAAGGTAGGAGATTGGGCATTGGTGAGACTAAGCTTTATGTCTTTGTAATTATTCATATCTTAGCTTTGTGTGGACTTTTAGATACAAGTTTAGAAAACTACACGTGTGTGTGTGTATGTGTGTGTCTATATGTAGAAATATATGTGGATGAGAGGAGCTCTTTAAAGCTACCTCACTGGCTCTCCAGACCAGCCCCATAGAGATGTCTCCCCCTCTGTTCTGACTTCCCTTATCCACTGTCACTCTCTGGTGGAACAATGGCATGTCATCTGGAGCCTTCTGTGGCCTTCACAACTATAGAGAGCACCAAGAAGGAAAGGAATAAGTCAGAAGATGGGTTTTAATATTTAAACCTTGACTCTGAGCAATGCTCAGAGAATGAAATATTCAGTAAATTGAATTCTAAAAAGTTATTGCTTGAGGGTTAACATAAAGCTTCTCCTCACCCATTCCTGTCACACACAAACTTTTTGGTTTCAAACCTTAGAGCTACAAGGAAAGTCTAGTCAACAAAATGGAATCATTCATAGCATCGTGGAAAGAGAGTCAAAACATCTGAGTTCTAGCCCCAACACTGAAACTAAATAAATATGACCTTGGAAAAGTCACGTCCTTTATCTGTTTCCTCATCTTTAAAATGAAAGAATCGGCCAAAAGAGTCATTAAAGTACCTTCTACCTCTTAATAGTGTTCACTAATTGGAGTTTTTGCAGGGCCTTGGGGTCAACATTCTCAACCTCTGGTACAATTACCAAAGGCTATAATTGAATATGGAGAAGATGTAAGAGACTAGGCTGAATGTAGATGGCCCCAGGAAGGTTTTTGGTTTGGCCTGAATAATTCCCTAATACAAGCTTGTTTTCTTGTCATTTCCCTAAATGTGGAGAATAGCAAAAATAATACTAATTTAGAGAGCTAGTTGTGTTTGAGTCAATTGAGGTTGTGTGTGTGTGTGTTTTACTCTACCATATAAACTCCTGATCTCTGTCTTTCTGTGCTCTGCCTTTATCTGACTCTGTCTCTTTCTGTTTCTTTCCCTGTGTCTCTCTCTGTCTCTGTCTCTCTGCCACCCCCCTCTCCTTACATCTCCTCAAACCCTACTCTCAAGGAAAGGCTTCAAATAACCATATATACCTCTCAATGTGTATGTTGCTGTTTTTCCTCTCCTAGAGGGACTTGTCTCTGACTGTGGAAAGAAAAGATGCATCTGTTGGTAACTGAAGTAAAGGAATCAGTGGCAGGAAAGAGAGGCATTTGGGAAAGAGTGAGGACTTCCTCGCACCCTTGAAATAATACACTAGTAAGTAATTGGCCAGCCTAGCAGGGAATCACTGTGTATGTAAGAGACAGAGACCAAAACAGATAGAAAGTACGCAAGAACAAAAGTCCATTAGGAGTCAGCTCAAATTCTGAGGTCTTCCTCTCTTATGTCCTGGAGAATAGAGGGCAGTAACAGAAAAATGCTCTTTGAGGTGAAACCTCTGAGGATTATGCTAAGGCCTGCTTTCAGGAATAAAGTGCGTATAAATCATGTCATGTGAGAATGTGTTGATAAAACTGGGGAGGACATAGTAGCTGTTTTTAAATACTAGAAGGTCTGACATGTATAAGAGGGATTAGATTTGATCTGAATGCTTTCAGATTACAGATCTAGCACCAGTGAGCAGAAATGAGAAGAAAGCAGATTTTGCCTAAATAGAAGAACTGGCATTTATAGCTATTGTATCATATAATAAAGCATTAATAACTTTAAGGTTTCCAAAGCTATTTACAAATATTATATCATTTTATCCTCACAATAAACCTGGGAGGTAGGTGCTATGATTATCTCCATTTTACAAATGAGGAAATGGAGGCAGGCAGAGGTTTAAATGACTTGCCCAGGGTCATACAACTAGTAAGCATCTGAGGCCAGATTTGACCTCAAGTCTTCCTAACTCTCACTGGGTTCTATCCATTTGGCCACCTAGCTGTCTTTTAATATTGTTGTTCAGTCATTTCAGTCTTGTCCAACTTTTTGTGACCCCATTTGGGGTCTTCTTGGCAAAGATACTGGAGTGGTTTGCCATTGCCTTCTCCAGCTCATTTTACAGGTGAGGAAACTGAGGCAAGTGTTAAGTGACTTGCCCAGGATCACAAAGCTAGTAAGTGTCTGAGGCCAGATTTGAACTCAGGAAGATGAGTCTTCCTGACTCCAGGCCAGCACTCTATCCGTTGTAGCACCTAACTGCCCCCTCTTAATATTATGAAGGACTTTTATAATAACTTGAGATATCTAATATTGGAATGGGCTTCCTTGGGGGAGTAGCA